ATATATATATATATATATATATATATATATATATATATATATATATATATATAAAAGAGTTTGAAGGCAATAGTCAAAGATAATTATAATGGAAAATTGGAAAAAGAATATGATGGAAGTTGTCAAGCAATTCACATTGCAATTTCTGTCCTAATTATTTTAGCTGTTGACTTTTCTGTCTCTCCGTGCTTGGAATTTGGGACCATACACTTAAATCAAATCACCCATCACTTAACTCTATATTATTTATAATAATAATAAAATGTAACCTTTGTCACAAAAAATTATCTAAATAGATAAAATGCTCGGTTTCGCTTTAGTGCCCGAAAATAATAATCCAAAGCTTTGTTATGTTCTTGGTTCCTTCTGTAGATAAGTCCTATGTTATAGAGTACCTAACTTGATCATAGGGATCGACTTCTAGTCTTATAGGAATTGATTTCTAGTCGTATAGCTTCATAATTATTTTGTAGAGCTTCCACCTAAAGATTGAGCCGACCCATTTTTATTATCACTTCCAGTACTAACAAGAGGACCAAAATATTATTAATACAACTTTTTTATGGTCCCACTCGAGGTAAAATCTCGTACATTAAATAATAATAATAATAATAAAATTGTAAAAAAACAATACATGATTTCCCTTATTGTAGGGCTTTTTAGGGTATGGTAAAAAAAAATGTACAATTTAACCATTTCAATATTGTTCCCAAAATTAAGGGGACACAAAAGGTAATTAAAAGACCAAAATTTATCGATCTCTTCGTCCAAATTTTAATTTTTATGCTTAACCAAGAAAAAATTATTTAAATGTATAAATCGAACGGAAAATATACATAAGAATAATCAGACATGACTCCCCACAATAATATGATATTTTTCACTTTGAACTTAAACACGCTTCCTCAAGAGGCCTAACACTAATAGAGATAGTATTCCTTCATTATAAATTTATGATCGTTTCTTAAATTAACAAAAGTGGGACTTTCATTCAACAAAATCAACGACACAAGATTATTTAATTACTGAAAAGGTTACGTTTACGATTCGATGATTTAAATAATAATCGAGGATGGTGGGGCAATGAAATATAACGAAAATTATTGGGCGCTCCATTCCAATCAATTATTGAGATGAAATTTAATCAATAGTCCATAAGATTATGGGATGTGAAAAATGATTTCATAATCAAAACAAAAATAATAATAAAACAAGGAAGCTAGGTCGTAGCTAAGGTAGCTAGGTAGGCTATTTGGCATCAGCTGGTCCCCAATTTGACAGGAACTTCCTTGAAATGGTGCAATCCCCTTTATTCAAGGCCCTTTCTTTGTGCCATTGTTCTTATCCCTTTGTTTTTTTGAATGGGAAACAGTAAATATTCTTGTTCTTGTTTGATTCAGACATGCAATCTAGTTTTGTTTGATTTCTGTGTCGTTGTAATCTATCAAAATACACAATTCATACTTCATATTTCAAAAAAGTTATACTAGATCCTTCTACAATAACCAAAACCAATGCAAATAATAGTGACAACAAACAATGGTGTTCCTTTTTTGTCTAGTTCCAGGCACAGAGGGCTCCTATATTCATTTCTTTCCTATCTCCCTATTCATATTCATAGAATAGAATTCGTGTCCGAATTCATGAACTACTAGAATAGCCAATTCGTGATTATAGCCATGTGTTCTAATCTTACGAACTACAAGCCCCACCTCTAGCAGTATCACGTTAATGATTCTTTCAAACTTTGTGATTTGTCATGAGTTTGAAAAGATGAATTTACTCTTCGAGATGGAAAGGAAGGGAAGAAAGAAATGTTCTAATCTTATGAGCTACCAGATGCACCTTGATCATCTCCCCCACTATCTCAATTACAGAACAAACATACTTCTAGATTTTGTATTGTACTAATGATTCTTCCAAATTCATAATTTGTCACAAATTAGAATGCATCATTGAACTCATCTCAATCACTCTTCAAGATGGGATGAAATGGGATGAAATGGAAGAAAGAAATGTTCTAACCTTATGAGCTACAAGCTACAAGCCACACCTCGCTCATCTCTCCCCACTATCTCAATTCAAGAACAAACAAACATCTAGATGTAGTATTGTATCAATGATTCTTTCAAATTCGTGTTTTGTCACAAATTTGAAAGCATCACTAAACTCATCTCGATCACTCTTCGGAGTGGAATGGAATGGAAGAAAGAAATGTTCCAATCTTATGAAGCTACAAGCCCCATGCTCATCTCCACCCACCATCTCAATTACAAAACAAACAAACTTCTAGATGTAGTACCTTGTCAACAATTCTCTCAAATTCGTGATTTTCACGAGTTCGAAAGCATAGCCGACTTCATCTCAATCACTCTTCGAGATGGAATGAAAGAAAAAAATAGACTCATAAATGAGGAAACAGATCCGATGAATTTGGAAAAAAGTGAACAAAAAACCGTACAAGAGAATCTAACTAATACTTCGAGACCTTGAAAGAAGTTTCACTAGCAACAAAAAAGACTTCACAAAATCAAGCAACCAAGTTATTAAACTTGACAAGAAAAAATTAGGTAAAACTACTCCAAAAGAATAATATATAATAAAAAAAATCAAATAACACAATTAGCTCCATCAAATATGGATTAATATTCTGTCACAATTCGAACAAGCAAATATCTTCGCCTTAACCAAACATCACCATCAAACAACTAATTAAAAAAGTAAAACATCTGACTGATTACGACACTTCAACTCTACCAATAACCCTGAGCATCAAATAAATAGCTTTCTCTCTCATAATATTGTGCTTAATAGCAACTATATATATATATAACAAAAGCTGGTCCCCGGAGCATTTGAACCGACAAGTCGGCCAACCAATATGACAAGAATAAAGACAATGCTGCAAAGTAATGTGGCAAAAGAGAATCCAAGCATCCAAAACCAAACATTTAAAGCACCAAAGCACAGAGAGCTAAATTAAGCAGAATGAATCCACTTTAAGTCTAAAGCTTAAGACAAAAATGTAGACTTTATTCAATGAGCAGAGACCCCAGCCACACATTTGTCCTTCCATTCAAAACAATTTTAACAACAATTTAAAGTTCCATTAGGGCTCGAATATACCTTCTAAAATACGGTTGCCTATGGTTTACTACCACAACCACCAACCCGACCCATGTAGGCCAACAAAAGCATGAATACAGACACGACATATAAGCATTTACATTTTTCTAAGAATATATATATATAATTAACTTATATGCTTGAGACAATTCTATATACCTTACTCTAAAAAAATTGTTATTTTTGTTGTGTATTAGTTGTGTTGGATATATACTGAACAATGGTCTAATTGATATGTATTTTGAATAAAATGCATATGTATAATGTTACAAGTGTCCAACATGAATTAGACATGAACATGGAAAAAACGAAAGTATGCAACTCCCCGACCAATAAATAGTTTGCTAACCACTTAGAATGCTTTTGCAGTTAAGCATATCAGCTAGTTGATATATATGCGCAGGCATATGATACCCAGATGATAAATAACTTTCTAAGTTCTAGAACAAAAGTAAAAGAAAAACATATCTAAGTAGTTCCTCTCCGTCTTTGTTTTTTGAGAGAACCATTTAAACCCTTCAACCTACTAAGGAAGTAATAATGGCAGCGTCCACATGTTGGGGTGGAAAAACTTCAATCTTAAAAGCTAACCAACAAAGTAGAAAACTACATTTCAAAACAATTTCTAATCACGGCCTCCTAAGGTAATCTACATGAAGCTGGATTTCACTATCTCCTCACATTTATAATTTTGTTTTTGACAAAACCATACGACACGAATTAGAGTGGAGAGAAATTATAACTTACCTAAAAACTCCAATGCCTTTGAGCTAAGGCAGTCAACACATTGAACAAATACTTGTTTCATTTTTCTTCTTCTTTTTGATGTGGCTTCTACTAGGACCCCAAACATCAGAGACCCACTGGTCGGGTTGATCCAGTGATAGATCACAATACTTGGTTTACATCATAAAAGTCCCCAAATATGATGACTCATAATTGTGGACTTCCGACGATGCAACTCAATCAGTTGCTAGCTGTTCATTAAGCTTGGAAATACATGAGAACAGACCAATCATTGTCATACAAGAAGAGAACCAATAAGTTAGATTCAAGTAGAAAGTCTTGCCCATTTACAAGGTATAAACACTACTTGCATCCATGTTTATATATATATATATATACATTTAAAAAAACACTATTGCATCCTCATCTTCAAGCATCAAAATTTCTCAAACGTGATGATATAACATGCTACGGGAATTCACGACTGGAAGATAAAGTTTTATGATCTAACATCTGTCTAGTGGTATTAGGTGATGTACCTCTCAACTTTCCAGGCCAAGTAGTTCTGATCGAATCAGGAAATGGAGAAACCAAACCATTCCACGTTCTTTCAGACAACCCTTGAGGCCAGAGGAGCAAGCAAACGAGCCATATTTGGCAGTGTTGGATAAGCCAGTATTCCAAGCACAAACCAGTTGAAGCTCAAAAGAGAAACAGCATCCAAAGCAGGTTTATTCTTAATAGTAGTGAAGAACTCAACTACGCTCTTCAATGAGATGCTAACCACAAACATGAGAGCCACTACAAGGCACAAGTGAGGCTCTTCAGCTTTCCATATAATCACTCCAACCAAAAGCGACAATAGGGTACTGAATAGACTTCGGTGAACTGCAACCTCCCTTTGTTCATCAAGAATTTCAGTGATATCTTCATCTTCTGATAGGATTTCGGAAGTATGATTGTGGATGAGCACACCAGATTGAAACCCAGATTCTAAAATTTTGATCAATTTTTTTTTAGATATATTACCGTCTTTCGAAGCTTCACTTCGAGAGAGGTCTTGAAGAAGGCTGCTGTCACTATAGCTGGATGAGCATGATGAGATACCATAGGTAATGTTGCTGCCAACTCTGCTAGTTTTTTGTGCTTCACTTTTGACATCAAAACCTTTTAAGCTCCAATATGCCTTACCTTTGATTTCTTGTAGTCGATGATTTTCATTTCTCAATTTCTGCACCTGATGGAACAAATTATGGCAAACAGTTTATTGGAAGCAGGAAATATTGCTAAGCTACTATTAACATATCACGCAACAATAACAAGAATAGACAGTCGAGGTTATGACGTAATCATTCACATGAACTGACATTTTCCCATCCTACACACAACCATGGCCGTGTCTTTCCTCTTTCTCTACATAAGAATGTAAGATAGCTAAAATTAATTTGAACTCTTTGCATAACCTTGTGACAGTTAATAAGAATGATCGCTCAAGAAGAATGATGCATGGTGTCGCAGTAAAGGATTTTAATGAGAAGTCCAAAATGCCAAAAACTTAGCTATATTATAATTTTGGAGAAAAACTCACAGGACTAGTAAATAATTAAACATCCCATTCCACATGTCAATACACACAACTAATGTTAATTCCCACCAGAGAAATTTTGATGCGATGCATTAGCAGAATGTATTATTGACATATTCAGATGCTTTACAAGCCTGATCGAAGCTCCTTAAAAAGAAAACCAGAAGGAAAATAACAGAACAAACTAACTCTTAAATATATAACTAATTACAGCTCAACCACTTGCAAATAACAAAACAACTAACCACCTTATAACAAAGATTAGACTATCTGGCTGCTGGCTGCAGGAGCCTGCCTTGGCAGTAAAACTTGGGACACAATTGAATTTCCAAAGCAACTAGGTAGAAACTTAAAAGGAATTGCTTTGGTCTAACTTAATAGATTACAGATCGCTGTGTGAATTTGAGTAAATTTAGGAAAAACATGTCAAGAGTGAAAGAAAAAACTAGTATGAATCCTAAATAGGCATATACTGTTGAAAAATATGAACCGGCAATTTCCTTGGCTTCATGTAAAACATTGGCTGGTATTACTTGAAATATCACAACTGAGTAGCAATATTTATCAGAATTCAGAACCACATGGTTCAACACAAGCAAAGATTTCCAGGTGATTTTTTAAGCAACCTAAAGAGTAAAAGGAAAACACATTTTCCTCTCGGAATCAATTTACATCAATGTTTTATTGCACTCATCAACACAAATTCACGTTAATATCATTCCATGAGAGATGACAGTAACTCAAACCGGTTGCACATGGAGCATGGGACAAAAGAACAGGAAACAGTTTTGCTGCAAATTCTAACGTCTTAAAAGTTACATTCACATTATAACTGTGTCATTGCGTGTGTGTGTGAGAGAGAGAGAGATTTTATTCGTTAATACATTGTACGGAATTTTCCACTGAGTTCTTGAAAGATATAAGAGGTTCAACTCATAAGAAGTAAACCAAGTTTTGATGTCAAAGTTCAACCTCTCCTTTACCAACTGCATAAATTCCTCCCTCCACTTCTTATTGAAACTAAGGTAGTCGTTCTGAGTTTTAACCTTCCACGACGTAATTTATGACATTTAGTACAGGAGCTAGAGCCTGAAGGAGATAGATAGGCCATTACCTCACTTTCTAAGAGTGCAATCTTGTTGGTCGCCTTTTCATTTATCATTTCAAGTTCGTCTAACATCAACTCCATCATCTTCTGCTCTTTCATAGCAGTCTGGAATTGTTTTTGAAGCTCCTTTCTTTCCCACAAAACATTGTCGAACTCAATTGCCAGAAATTGCAAATTTTTTTGCAACTGCATAAAACCAATCATTATCGAGTAAAAAAATCGCAAAACCAAATTAACAGAATCTTCCTAAGTAGCCGACTAGGTACTCCAATACATTAATTACTTAATGACTAGTAAAGATCCCATAGGCGACCAACAAACAAAATCAGAACAAATTCAAAATGTCAATAATATGAACTTGAACAAACAAAAGCTTGAACAACACTTCTCCAATCGATTAGTAATAAGTAAAACAATTCAAATTGTTGTTTCATTACTCAGGCTGCAAAGAACTCGATGGTATGTTTCCTAATCCCTTTCCAAGTTATTATAACTTATTAACATAACTTTTTTCTGCTTTTGAATATTAAGGACTTCCGAATAAATGTTGAACTCAGGAAACATTTGTAATTATTTGAACTTCTCAAAATCTACCACTTTAATATCACACCTGTTTATATCTGGAATTAGAGTCATGTCTATGAATTTGAGTAGGCAGTTAACTCCTATGTGTAAGCAAATGGAATCGTCATATTGTTGTCTATGAGAAGTTTAAGTCTAAATCCACTACCGTAAGTTGAAGAATATTTTTCTATGTGCATATTTTCCTCAAAGACAAATCTCAAATCAAAAACAGAGAAAAGAAAAGACAGAAACAAAATACATCATCATTGAACGAGCACCGATGGCAATCAAGAAACAACAGGGCGAGAGGGCTAACCTGCCTTTCCCTCTTTAAAGCAGCTAAAATTCGTCCAGGAAGGGAGACAAACGCAATTATCCACATCAAAGTTGTCCACAATATATTCAAGTGAAGACTGACCGAGGTTTTCAACAGCTCCAACCAAGTTTGAACGACAACAACAAAGGTTTTCAAGATTAATGAGCATGTACTTATGAAAAACGAGAAAGGCCACGTGATAAATAATATTGTGATATTCAGAAACTCGTATAACAAAGCCATTGAACCCACCAGTACTGCTACCTTTCTTGCAAAACTACATGCCAATGACTTTCCCGAAGCTGTAACCAGATTTATTGAATCCAAATTCTGCATAACAAACAAATCACTTCAACCAAACTGGGGCTGAGGAAGTTACATAATAAATTTTGATATCATTTAAGCAGGTACAAAGTTGATACCAAAATTTCCTCCAAAGCTAATCATTAGATTATGCAGTGCAGGCCATTACTTCACAGTCCGGACACCCAGAATCCCGTGATAAGAAGAACTTGAGAATAGAAGGATAGTGGACCTTTTTATTAAGTGAATCTTAACAGAAGACGAAAGAAGAAAATAGCATGGATGCATCTCAAAAGTCTACAATAACGTACGAGTGTTATTCCCCAATTTCAGGGTGCACCACAGGGAGATAGACCAGATTCCTTCAACAAAACAACTCAAAAACTAATCCGTTTTCTCTCGATTATCAAGCAGTCTTCAGAATTTTGGCACCGTGCTATTGATTATTTAACAGGAACGAAATTGAGATCACTGAAATAATAGTGACAGATACAACTATTCTTGTGACAATACCAAAGAAAAACAACTATCGAATGTCCGTCCATCAATTTTCTCTTCCTTCTTCATCTTCCACCACTCACATTTGCTTATATCACACAGAAATCCAATGAACCTAAGTGAATAAAGTGCGATTATTGATATTTAAACTACAGAATCATTCCTATATCATAATGGATCAAAAAACAACGCAAATCAAGTACGTAACGGAAATTAATTGAAGCGAGTTAATAAAAGCGATGCGATGAAACAAAAGCTTACAGCAAGAGGAGAATGTAGACGAATTAGAGCACGGGAGAATCGCGGCAAAAAGGCAGAGCTGGAGAGAGAGAGACTCTGCATGGGAGAGAGTTCTGAGAAAATGGCATCTGGAAATATGGCAACTCCATGATTGACACGTCCGAGAAATGGTGATGAAATGGATATGGAGGGAAACTTGACCTTGAACGAAAAGCTAATATGGCGCCGCTTAACCGCTTTCACAATTTCTTTTTCTCATTAAACTCCCTGTCGTCTCTTTTACTGCTACCCAGTGAAATTAGCACTCAAATTCGCTTATTTATGAAATGGAAATAAATTAATATAAAAACTTTATTCAATATAATATTTTATATGATAAAAGTTATAAAAATATTTTTAAATTTTTCATTTTTCTTAAAAATATATTTAAAACTTCACCCAAAAAAAAATCTATTTTAAATAAGAAATACTCTAATTTTTTTTTTTTTAATTTCATTAATATTCTTAAATTTTAAAAAAAACTGCAGTTATATATTTTTTTAAAAAATTAAAACAATATCTTTATGGTTAGTATAATATTTAAAAAATGTTCATGAATTTTGAATAGGGACAAGAAAATAAATAAAGAGCCCATAAATGATTTTTCTTCCTATATTAATGGTAATAAATTTTTAAACTTTTTATCTTTTATAAATATTATTTATTAAAAATGAGTCCTACGGTAATTAATTTAGTGGAATATCAGGGTTTATAAGTGATAAATACTATTTTCATTAGTACGAGTCATATTAGGGAAGTCCAAGTCAAAGACTTCAAAACTTACACTCAAAATGGACAATATCATGGTGTCAGAGCCGAATTATATAAAAATTTAAATTAAAAGGTGTATTATTCTTCCATTATGGTATTCTTTTTTTTAATAAAATCATTGTTTTAATCTATATTTTAAATTAACAATTTAAGTTTATAGTAATTTAATTCCCAGGTTGTCTATCTGACTTTAATGTATAATTATTTTTGTAATTTTAAGTACGTAACGACTCAATATTTATGGTTAAAAATTATATTTAATTACATAACAATTTTTTTATATAAATTAAGCAACCATTTAATTTTTCACATTAACGAGTAATCCTACTATGGGAGGATTTAGTCAAGGAGATGCGGAAATAGTCATTCAAAATCCATTACGTGTTCAAGGCCTTTTGTTCTTTTTACCTCGGTTATTTTGGCACAAATCTTTTTAGTTATTAAAAAGAAACAGTTTGAAAATGTTAAATTGTCCGAAATGAATTTCTAAATCGGCGTATTTATCAATATTTATCGTTTAACTATGCTCATTTTTACATTTCTACTCTTGTATTAGTTTAATTAAAAAATTACTAGATATTTTGTGAGTTTGGTAGTTTGATTATTTTGTTACCTTAATCCATTTATATAAATTCATCGTGTTATTTTTCTTCTACATTAAATTTTCTACCATAGTTAAAATTCATTTACCAACAGTAATTATTAAATATTGAGATTTGATGTTTGTTGTACTAATAATATTGATTTAAAAGAAAATAAATATTGAGGAGATTTTTTGGGGAAATTAAAAAAGAAAGAAAACTAATAATACGGTGTCGTTTATACGTATTTATACGTATTTGTGGTTTCAAAATTAATTAAAAATTTCAGTTCTTCTGCAAATTACTTATCCTTTGAAGAACAAGGCGCGGGAATGTAGCTTCCATTGCGCGGGTAAAATCTGAGGTGACAGTTCAAATGGCACCAAAACTTGAGCGGTCCCAGAACTCCAACTCGCCATCGAGTTCTCGAGCTTCCTTTGAGATCGAATTGCATCAAATTCCTATTCAGCGACCAGCTTAGATGCTGCATCTGCATAGGATTGAGCGGAATAGCTGATGATTCCACTAAGAAATGCAAATCCAGGTAACTCATCTTATTCACTTTGAACGGCCGGTGAGCCACCAGTGATGCAATTTCTATGCCGTCGAAGATCAGGACGAAATCGGTATGTGAGAACCTTGCCTGTGTTCTAGCATTTTGATTCTCGGCTCGGACGACGAGCTTCATCTGGACTTCAAGCAATCCGATTCTGCTGTTTCGGATTCTATCGAGATGTCCGTCGGTTACGCTGATTGAAGGCACCGTAGGGCGGGTTGTCACGTAGCCGATGAAGATAACGATGCCTGCGATAATCACAGCAAGAGCTATGGTGGCGCAGATTATACCGGCAATCCAAATTAGGGGATGAGTATGTCGCTTTAGGCTGGACAGGAAATTTGGTGGCATCTGAGACCAATGTAATTTCTCATAAACTAATTGCAATCTAGACTGAAAAGAAGGTAAAAGTGAAGGTATATTTGAATTTGCAAATGATCTCACCACTTTTGTTGTGTTGCAGAGCTCAATTTTAGGCATGGCAGAGAAAAGACACTGAGGGAGGAATGCAAGCTTGTCAAGAAGTTGCAGCGATGGGCGGCGAAGGCTTTGGTATCTTCCTTTCCTTATTTTTAACGCATCTAAAGGTAAAGAACTCCTACTGTTAGAGCATATTTGTTATCTGAGAATTTATCCAAAGCTTTGTCGAGTAATTGTTTCCTTTAATTATACTTGAGAGTTTCTTTTTGAATCCATAACAGTACTGATGATAATGCAATGCTTCATTTAAATTAACAAAAGACAATATTCATGATTGTGTGTTCTATTTAGATCGGATTAAATGTTTAGTCCGAATTCGACAATGATATTACTTTTGTAGTTCTGCTTTAAAAATCATACTTCGAACTTCTTTTGAACAAATTGGCTTTGTTTTCTATATATATACAGTTCAACAACAGCTAGACAAAAAATTAAATTATCGATGAACTACATCCTCACAACAGTTCTTTAGTTAGGTCATTTCTTTCCTTCTTACGATCTCAGAAATTCATTTTTACATCAATCTAGATGGCTTCCTTTTACGTTTAGTTATCGTTGGTATACTTTAAAAGTAAATTATTTAATCACTTGAACGATACTTAATAATTGGACATATTATTGGAACTGAGTTATATATATATATATTTTTTTGTTCTCTTTACTTTGGTTTAGAAAGCAAAATTCCAAACTTACACTGGAATTTTCTAGCTGGTGCACAGAGAAAGACGACTGAGTTGCTTTTGATCTATCAACAGTCCATGTCAAATGCAGTCGAGTTATGATCGAGCTTATGGGAAAATGACGCTATCGACATCTGAATGTTCCAACAGGTAATTCTACTAATATTTATCTCAACCCAACTATGGACAAAAAGCTTATAACATTTAGATATCAAATACGATTATCTTACCATTTGAATTATAATTTGATTTGAATCTTTATGACATCAACAATATTTTCATTTCACTGTTACTTCAACCTACCTTAAGAACGAAAACTATACAAAGACGGGGCAACAGTAAGAAAAAAAGAGAGCTTCTGATGAGGTGAAGTAGGTGAAATTGCTAAGGTCAAAATGATGTGTGTAGAACAGGTAACCCTACTTGCCTCTAGGAAATCACTAATGTTTCTATGTATTAAGCTTGTGAAAACACCAAAAATGGATGAAGAGAAGGCAAAAACTACAAAGTTTAGGAGTCTCTCCACCTACGAAAAAGACTATCATAACTATCTCTGAATCTTCCCCTCTGCTGATAAAAACCATTCCGTAAGAACTTCATAGTCGATTCGGATATTCCGATTCGTTGATCTAGCATATCATCAGCGAATCGCCTAACCTCTGTTAATCGATCCAAGTCGCAGAGACCAATAAGCAGTGCATTTGCACTTGCATCCATAGGCTTGATGTTATTATCAACCATGAAGTTCCATATATCAATGGCTGTTTCAGGGTCATAACCATCAAACAACATTGTGATAGCTGCAGCACAATTAGAAGGGGTGGGAGGGCACTCATTCTTTACCATCTCCCTGAAAAATTGACTTGCTTCCTTAACTTTCTTGTTCTTAATCAAACAGCTGAAGATCAGATTGTAAGTGAGGGAGTTGGGAAAAGCTCCATGGAAAACCATGGCGTCCAAGAGCCGAAATGAGTCTTCAATTTTACCCTTCTCACTAAGCAATCCGATTATGGCATTGTACATAATCAAGTTTGGAACTAATCCACTTCCCACAACTATATCCCACAATAGAATCGCATGAGTTGCATCATTTTGGTTAATGAGACTATCAAGAGCATTGGATAGGAATTTCAAACCTGGAGAGCAACCATTGTTCTTTATTTCTAGTAGAACTTTAACTGCCTCTGCAGATTGGCCCCGACGAACCAATGTTATCAAAAATGCATCATAAGCTGAAACATTTTCAGGATTCCAACCGACTCTTTTCACCATTTCATCAAATGTAACCTCGGCTTTCTCCACATTGCCTTCTTTCTCCCATCCTTCCAATAAAATGGCGTATGAGTCCCCATCTAGAGGAATCTTCTCTTTGTGCTTTTTAAAGAACTCCCAAGCCTTTGATGTTTGATTTTCCTCGGTGCAAATTGCACTCAGTAGAGAATTCACCGCCACCACATCCTTCTCGACGTCGTACCTATCCATCACTTCAAAGCTCTTAATCGCATCTTTGAACCTGCCAGCAGAACAATAACTCCCAAAAACAGACACGAAAGTTGGTAATGAAAGGACTTTTTCTTCCCTCATCGTGCGGATGGCGTTCCACATTTGATCAAACAATTCATTCTTGCCCAGCAAATCAACCATCATATTCCACGAGTACGCCGACTGCTTCGCCAACTGCCTCGCCCAGCGGAAGAATTTGATCGCCGACGACGGATAGTTATAAGAAACCCTTAGAACTTCTTGGACAAGCTCTGGCGACGGAACTACTCCCGTCGCGGAGAGCGCGGCTTCTACATCATTTGGCGAGGCTCTGACCAGGACTTTGCAAACGGTTTTGGCAGCCGGCGATATGTCAGGCGCGTCGAGATGCACGGGGAGGCGAGGGGATTTGGCCAACGGAGGCGAGGAACTGGGGGGGAGTTTGAAAGGCTTTTTTACACCAATTTTAGGGTTTTCAGCCATGGCTTCCACCATTCATCACCTCAAACAACCATATGAAATCCACAATTGTTCAACCAGGAAGAAACCATTTGGACTAAGACGATCAATCATAACCTTTCTTCGTTTCCCGATCTCAATAGGAGAGATAAGTTTTTATGAGAGGAAATGTGAAGAGTTTAGAAGTCGGTCAGGAAACCTCCGTCTTGTAAAGCTTCGTCTGGTATTTTGGAACTCTAAAACGAGTGAAGCTATTTGAATTTGCAAAGACGAAGGGACCGACAGGTGCTGAGACAGATGGAAGAGAGGTTCCTTGAGCCTCAGTGGAGTGAGCAGTCATGCTCTGTAGGGGGGAAGAAGATGGTACAGTTGTCGTTAGTGATGAAGCCCAATTCGCGGGAACTGACCCTTGAAACATACCTTGGGCCTCAACTTTGTTTAGGGGTTCAAAGTGGATTGGGCTTCGGAATGACTAGGATGATAAAAATCTCGTCTTGTTTTTTTTTTTAATTATAATTTTATCTTATAGAGCCAAAGGGAATGAATATATGGAATCTCTCTCTCTATATATATATATTTTAACTAATTAAATTCTTTTTGATTGGATGATAATTAGAGATTATGATTGAATTCTATTAGAGAGTGTAGTGATTAACTTCTGAGTTAAACTATTAATAAAAACATCACAATTATTTAAACACATGAACAATAATACTAATTTTGGTATTAAGAACACAATTTATTAATACTTTTTTTTTTTTGTACTAGTTATATTCAATAATGAAATGCAATATCAACGTGCCGTAATGAAACAGAGAACAAACTGATCATGGAGTATCCCAACTTTAAACGAGGCCCATAACTTCAGCCCCTATCTTTTAAGTCTTTACTATCTTCAACTGCCATTTCCTCGGAGTTCAGTGGCTTGCGCCACCGTACGGCAATCTTCTTTGATGTTAAAACCCTTTGTATACCCTTCCATCTCCGGCTGCCACCATGCAACCGTCTCCATCCTTGATTACTGGCCCTATCAGAACTCTAACGACCACCGCCCGACCTTCCACGATCATCATCCAAGCCTACCAGCACCAGCAACCCAATTCAAAGTTCAATGGTATTTTTGGTTATAGAGCCGACCTTGTTGGTGGTTGTGGCCGTAGATTTCCTGCTTGTGCAAGTCCCAGCTCAGGGCCTCAAGTTCCGGCTGCTTCTGCTCCTTTTGTCCAATCCGATGTAGGCGCTGCGTCTCGGACGTCGGCACTGGAAAAGTTGGATACTGTCGAGGAGGGCCTAGAAAAGGTTTGAACCTCTAATTCCTGGGTGCCTGTTTAATTCATAATCATAGTAGCTTTTATAGTGTGACAATATTACTTCGTGTGATTTCAGGCCATTTATCGATGCCGATTCATGGCGTTTTTGGGCGTCTTAGGGTCTTTAATTGGGTCTGTACTCTGTTTCGTCAAGGTATGATGACTACCTTTCAGCTCTCTATCACATTATTCTGTTTTCATAGGGCATGATTTGTGTTTCATTGTCTGTGTTGGGAATCTTTGAACTGAGATTTTTCTTCATGATTCTATATTGCTGAACCTTGGTTTGAGAAAATATGGTATATTTGTCTTTTTATTCTTGTTGATTGGTGTACTTGGATAATCATTAGCAGCACACGTTGTCGGTTGACTTTCAGTAAATATATAATACGCGGTCTGCCTTTCTCGTTTTTCTAATTTTATGCGTGCTTATGCAATGCAGGGGTGCGTTCATGTGGCAGCATCTTTATCAGAATATTTTGTAAATCGTGGAAAAGTGATTATGTTGCTAGTTGAGGCCATAGGTACTTACTGTGAAGTACTCTCAAACTAATGTTCTTTTCTCTGTTTTCCGTTTGTCAAATCTGTGTTCAATGTTCATAATTTTGTTATAAAAATTATCTTTGAATCTTTATAAAAAGAAATTTGATCCAATTCCAAGTTTAGGTTGAGTACTAGGGCACACGATCCGTGGAAGTAAATACACGTTTTCATTATTGATATGTGTTTTGTTAGCATTACTGCTGCATTAGAAGCTTTTTCATGTTTTTATTTGCTTCGAAGTTGACTTATTTTTATAATGAAACTAAGGTAGCCACTTGTTCTACTGAATTCACTAACTTCTACCATTATTTATTTATTTATTTATTTATTTTTGTTGCTTTATATGCTCTTTAACCTAAATACTGTTACTTTGTACATCAAAATGCCATAACTTAGTTATAATAATTTACCATAAATGATCATCTGACTGTACATCAGGTTCATGGTGGATTAAAATAATGTCACATAATGTGTAACACAATTGCACAGCCTCAAATGTTAAATAAATCAATTTCATTCCTCCACGACAACCAGTTCATCTTCTAATATTTATGACATATAATCAAGTCCAAATTGAGATCGAACTACACTGAGAATGAAGCTATGAAGGCTCAAATGATTTAGATGAAAAGGAATCCTAAAGAACCCACATGTAAGTTCTGAGTTTTAGGGGGTGTGAGGGATTCTGGAGAAGGGAAAACCAAAAACAGTGGGCTGGGGCAGCTTTACTAGATGGAAAATTTAATAAAATATTAATGGAATTGGTTAAATTGTATTAGTTTAGAAACAATACTTATAAAGGGAAGTTGAACCCTTATCAATTATTGTTTAGGATTCTGGTTCAGGTTTTCATTTAATTCTTCAATTGGTTGTTTGGTTAACATTGTTGAGTTCTCTTGTGATTGTACAAGTCATGCAGATGGATGTCTGAAATGAATACTAAATTTTGTGCTTGTTTGATCATCAAAGATAGATATCAGTGGAATAAGTTAACTTAATCAGCCTGTAATTTTTCCTGCCCCTAGACATGCATAAATTATCCCTCTTCTTAGGTTAGTTGGATTCTTCTTGGGGTTCATTTTGTCTCAATAAAAACACGACTCATAAAAAATAAAAAAAATTCAAGGTCATTAAATTCTTGCTTCAAATGGTTTGCAGATGTTTATCTCTTAGGAACTGTGATGCTAGTCTTTGGCACGGGTCTCTATGAACTGTTTATCAGCAATCTTGGAAGTGCACGGTCATTTTCAGAGAGAGGCGTTTTGCATAGATCCAACTTATTTGGCTTGTTCACTTTAAAGGTTAGTCAATCTTATCCCTGTTATTGTGATACAGTTTCTCTACTGTTATCTGCTGCTCCGTGGCCATTGTTATTGTAGTTCTTTTGTTTAGTTTATTTTTTATGCATTCAACAATCATATTTTGTCCCTAAAGTTTTCCTCCTCAATTTAGTCTCGTTAGCTTAAAACTCGTTCTACTTTAGTTCTTGAACTTTGTGATGACTTTAGTCCCTATCGTGAAAAATCTACTAAAAATGAATTCTCCATATGAGAAAACAAAAAAGTGATGGGCTGGTGGGATCTAGGCTCTTACAACTTGTATGAGCTAGAGCTTAGAGTTTAAATTGTTATAAATTTTAAATCATAGAGAATATTGTTACATACTAAAGTTTAGTGACTAAAGGGTTATCAAAATGTCTCTATATTTGTGGTCCTAATAACATTCTTGCTGTAGTTGGATGTTTGGGCCCTAATTGAGCCTAAAAATGGATTTTGATAATCGCATGCCCAACATCTCATTTATTTTAAAGTGTAACGGCTCGAGCCCACCGCTAGCAGATATTGTCCTCTTTGGGCTTTCCCTTTGGGTTTCACTTCAATAGTTTTTAAAATGTTTTTAATAGGGAGAGGTTTCCACACTCTTATAAACCTTATAAAGCATGTTTCGTTCTCCTCCCCGCCAATGTGGGATCTCACAATCCATCCTCTTTTGGGGCTCAGCGTCCTTGATGGCACTTGTTCCCTTCTCCAATCGATGTGGGACTCCCCCAATTTACTCCCTTCGAGGCCCAACGTCCTTGCTGGTACATCGCCTCGTGTCCACCCTCTTTGGGCCTCGGTCTCCTCGCTGGCCCATAGCTTGGTGTCTGGCTCTGATATTATTTGTAATGGCCCAAGCCTACAGCTAGCAGATCTTGTCCTCTTTTAGCTTTTTTTTTTTCAAGCTTTCCCTAAAAGTTTTTAAAAAACATCTACTAGGGAGAGGTTTTCAAACTCTTATAAATAATGTTTCGTTCTCCTTTCTAATGATTTGAATCTCAAGTTTAGTGTTCGAGTGATATTAACATGCTCACAATAAAACACACATAATATATATAGATTAGCCAATGTTCATTTATATTAAATGGTGTCGTTACAGTTTTACATGATTGAATATATGCAGGAACGACCTAAATGGATGAACATAACAACCGTAAATGAGCTGAAAACAAAGCTGGGGCATGTCATAGTAATGCTGCTTCTAATTGGGTTTTTTGACAAGAGTAAAAAGGTGGTCATTCAATCTCCAGGTGATTTGCTTTGCTTGGCTGTTTCAATATTCCTTTCCTCTGCTACCTTGTTTTTGCTCTCTAAACTAACCGAATGAAATTAATTAGTAATAAGTTATGTAAAAATATAAAAATATAATACTTTTTTTTCCCTTTTTTGGCCTTCCCTCTGAAAACGGTTGAAACCAGAAATGTTCTTGTAAATGGGTGCTGTAAGAAGATGTTACTAGTGTAAATTATCGGCAAAAGAGTAAATAAATAAGATAATAAAATTTTAGAGATAAGAATTAAAATTATATTTTAACTTTATATTAAAATGAGCAACAAAGAGTTCTTCAACATAAAATAATAATAATTAGAAGAAAAAAGATTCAAATGGAATATAAATAACCCAAGTTGGACGAGATTACAGAGTGTTGGAATATTTTGGATAAATTATAACCTTCTTGCATTAAATTATTCATTTTTTTTATTTCATAAAGATTCCTGGTTGAAAGGATTTGAACCTAGAGAATAGATATTTTATGAAATATATTATTTAAAAGAAATACATACAAATTATTACGGTTGGGCCAATATAATATCACTTGACAACATCATCATCATACTTTATTAATAATATTGCAAAAAATTAGTAGAATACCTCAAATAACGGTGGAGTTTACTCCAATAATATTGACTTTACATATTCTTATGCTATGTTTCTTTTGTACATATTTTTTTAATATTGACTTTACATATTATTATGCTAGTTTTGTACATATTTTTTTTTACAACTTTATATATCCTTTTCCATTATTAATGTTGATATTATTAATTTTCTTGATATTATTTTTCAATTACATTTTATGCTTATTAGAGATGTTCATTTAATTTGTTGAGTCGAAGTCTCGTTCTAAATATGGTGAAAATTCTCTGTTTAAATGGTAAATGGAGTCTCGTTCTGAACAGGGTGATAATTCTCCAAGTCTCTTACTCAACATGGTGAAATTTTTTTGTTTAAATGGTAAATGAAGTTTCGTTCTGAACAGGGTGAAAATTCTACATTTCGTAAATGGAGTCTCTTCCTGAACGGGGTGAAAATTTTCCATTTAAATGGTAAATGGAGTCTCGTTTTGAACATGGTGAAAATTCTCCGTTTAAATGGTAAATAGAGTCTCTTTGGTAAAAATTCTCTGTAAATGGAGTCTCTTTCTGGACAGGTAAAAATTCTTAGTTTAAATGGTAAATGGAGTCCCTTTATGAACGGGCTGAAAATTTTCCGTTTAAATGGTAAATGGAGTCTCTGAACCGGGTGAAAATTCTCCGATTTCTTTCTGTTAGATAAGGTGAGTTCGAGATAGAGGTTATATTGTTGGTCGGTTAGGTTAGGTATTGCTTAATATAAATATATTTGTAAAGAGATCCTCAAATGATTTTTCAAATTTCTCTCCTCAAAAAATTACTATTATGTTCCACAAAATAACTGTACAGCACATATAATTTGTTAATTGAATTATAAAAATTGCATCAAAAATATAAAGTGTCTGCCAAAAACTCCTTGGTCGTGGTGTATGTTCCACTACTTTAATTTTATCATAAATGCATTACATATTATCAACAATATTTATTTTTATAATATCAATTTGATTATCAATCTAATATATTTAAAAGCCCTTCATGGAATATTCCATGGTCAATCAAGTATTTCTCTTTCCATTTTACATTATTTTATGAAAAAAAAAAATTCAAAAGCACATCCATTCTTAATCTATGTTGGCAGGGAGATATTTTGTGATAATTATTTTGTTAGTTAAATTATAAGTTTAGTTTTTGTAACAGTCGAGTTAACTTTAATTTTGGGTCTAATGTATTATGCTTTTTTATACAAATTTATGTTTTTTTTTACAAATTTACGAAGATATTAGACCGGGAAGCTTAGTTTAGTGTTCTAATTTAGTTTTAATTTAAAGGACATTATTAAGCATTTTTTTTTATAAGTTCTAAGACACAAATTTAAAAAGTTTATAATTTAAATTTTTAAGGCATATAAAAATTATTTATTTTATTTTATTTTAATAATTTCTTATTTTATTTGTATTAGGAAGGGTTTGAAAATATTATGGGTTATAAAATTATAAAAAATACTTTAAAAATAGTTTGAGTAGGTGGTGAATGAATTGGGGGTTTTATTTTATTGTTGGGAGGAAAAGTGCCCTCAAATAGGACCTCCCTCCAAAACATGCAATTTTTTTTTTTTTAATTATTCAACAAACTGCCCATTTACTTAAATTTTAATGTCAAAAAATCCCACTTGCAATATTTCGTCTGGAATTCAAAGGCCGACAATAGTTTATGGACTATGAACGAGCTAGATTCTTTCATTAATATAATTATCGTCTTTTAAATAATTCATGTTTAAGGTTTATGGAAGAATTTTAGTGACCAAGTTGTGAGTGTTTTCTACTCTAAAATTTAAAATATTATCCTTAAATCATCCCATTTTTTCTACTCTAAAATTTAAAATATTATCCTTAAATGATCTCATTTTTCTACCCTTGTTATTATTAGTAGTATTAATTCAAGAGGTAGTTTAATTTAGCTTATTATGCATTTCATAATCAGGGCAAAAATTCGGAAAGTAGGCTCGAGCTTGTGAAAATTTTGAAATATAGAAACACAATAATGAAAAAGTAGTTTGAATTTGTATGTAGTGAATATCTAGGACACATGTATAGTTTTGAATTTAGATCTAATGATTAATTAACAACAACCATATTCTTAACAACTCATTGAATATTTTATTTTATTTTTTTATTTTAGATCTGAAATCAGTTAAAATAAACACTTCATTTGAAATGTGATGGTCTTACATTTTTCGACCAGTCCTAACGGGAATTAGCCTCATATATATTTTTCGCCTCGGCTTTGTGACTTTCGTCATATCGAGGTTTGTTTTCGCTAATCAAATAATCCCTTATACGGAATCCAAGCTTGCTTGACCACACATGCCATAAAAGAGTGTTAGTTGACATTTCACTATTTGAATATTAAGTTATATATATTCATTAAACTTTTTTTTTTATCTAATAAATTTTCGATAAATCTAAAATTAAAAAAAATATTAATATATCAAATTTATATTTGAAATTTATGATATTAAGGTAGAGACTAAATAGACTTAAATATAAAAATCTTAATATAAAATTAATATTTAAAATAATGATTATTTTAATTTCTACTTGACTAAAGAAAACTAAATAATTTCCCATTAACCTACTTGCTTGTTAATAGAAAGCATCGGAATGTTTTTATTTTATTTTATTATTATTATTTAAGTAATAATAAAACAATTCTATCATTTTTTTGCTATATTAATTAATTTTTAATTTAAACATGTAACGTGGAGAAATTTAAATATATAAACTCTTAATCAAATTTATACACTTTAATTTATTGAGATAATTTGATATTAATTAATTAATTCATTAATTCATATCTCAATTCTATCATTTGATATTTTATTTTATTGTTATATCTCAATTCATTAATTAAAAAAAATCAGAAGAGAAAAAAAGAAGCATATTATTGTAAATAAATTAAATAGTCACAACAAGATTATTTTAATTATTTTTTACGAGATAAAAAATATTTAATTGTGTCAAATTTATATTTGATTATAAGATGAGTGGAAGAAGCATTTTGATTTAATTATAAAACTTAATAATCTCGTATTTTGATATTATTTTATTTTATTTTATTAAAGTTGAAGCTATTTTTTTTAATTAATCTCGATTTGGTGTTGTTTCAGTGTTTTTTTATTTTTCAGAAAAAGAAATTGTTATTTAGGTTAATGATTTTTAGTATATCAATTTTATTTTGTTTGAATTTTCTCTTTATTGAATTTTTTTTATTTATTCTTAGTTTTATTAATTAAAAAAAAGACATTAAATAATTTTTAAAAATATATCTTAACCATTATTTTTTTTTATTTTTTTATAATTAAATCCCAACCGAGACAAATAATAAAATAATAGTAATAATAATTTGAAGATTAAATTAATAAAAATATCGTGCTCTCAAAAGTTTGAATAATATTCTAAAACTAAAAAAAGTAAAAAAAAAAATGTTTTTATTATTAATTTTAAATGAAAATAGTTAATACTCTAAAACAACTTTAAATTTTCAAAAATTTCATTAACAATTTGAAATTTGTATTAAATTAAATTTTTTTTTAAAAAAAAGCATTAAATAAAGTATTAATATATTTTTTTAAAAAGTATTTAAAATTATGATTTTTTAAAAAAAAAAACACTATTAATAAATTTGAATGTATTAATACTTCCAAAATACTATTTTTAATTTTTTTTTAAAAACCTACTTTTGAAATTTAAATATATATTTATTTATTTTATTAATTATAGTAATTTAAAATTAAAACTTTTTCACATAAATAAATGGGGCATAAAAATATTCTTTTGCCAATTTTGAAATGATTTGAAATTGAAGGGCTGCTCATTAAACATGCCAAAAATGGAAATTTATTATAAAAATAAATAAATAAATAAATAAATAAATAAATTATCAAGTGGGCTCTTTTAAATTCATCTTAAATAGCTGTCTTATGACAACTCCAACCCCATAAATACTAACCTCTTTCCCATTTTCATATCAATTTCCTTTCCTTTTGTTATTTAAATTAACAAGAGAAGAAAAAAAAAAAAAAAAAAAAAAAAAAAAAAAAAAAAAAAAAAAAAAAAAAAAAAAAAAAAAAAAAAAAAAAAAAAAAAAAAAAAAAACTCCATGGCAGCTCATAGGAGCTTACACTTCATTAACTTGCTTCCTCTCATCACTCTTCTTCTTCACTCCCTCTCTGTAACATCACGCCCACTGCATGGCATCGATCCGCTGCCCTCCGCCGCTGCCATGGCGGTTATCTCCGCCCATCGCCATGCTATAATGCCTCCTGCTCCGGTGTCGACATTGTCGTTCTCGATAAACCGGTATAAATATGTAGAAATTGATGCATTCCGACCGACCACACCCGGGCATAGCCCTGGTGTTGGCCACACTCATCCACCAGGTAGCGCGTAGTCATGGCTCGAGCTGCATATGTTCCATCAATGTTTATATTGTTTGTGTGTTTTTGTTGAGAATGATTGTGTTGGGGGTTTTGTAATGTGTTTTCTTTTACAATTGTGTTTTTTTTTTCTCGAGTGAAAATTTTAATTATCTTTTACCTTTTGACTCTTTCGAT